TTGTGAGGGCACTTGTGTGGCACTTAGAAGGCAGGTTCTGCTGTGGTTGTGTTAGACCTTTAACACTGGAGTGTGCAGGATTCGGGAGGCCAGTGGGATGTGCCTCTGAGGAATGAGTGCAGAATGGCTTATGTTTGTCCACGGGTCCGCACTGGGTTTCTGTTAATGCTGTTTTTTCTTGCCTTTGGATTATTCTTTCTATTACTGTCTTGTCTTTGGTCTGGGTGGCACCAGCAGGTTCTCTGGCCACTGCTGAGACTGGGGGAGATCGTGGGTTTTCCTTAGTGTGTCTTACTCATCTGTTTCACCCGCATATAGTAACCGGTGATTGTTTTGACAGAAATCCAAACGTTGCCATGGGAGCGTCCTTCTCTGCCCCTGAATACTCCATAAAGGTGGCAGATGTGGCCAAAGTGAGGACCCTGAATGCCATTGCAAAGAACATTCTGTAGTGGAAGGCACCGTGCTTGGGACAAGAGCGCTGAGACTCCAGGGTCTTCTCTGCCACATGGACAGATGGGTACTGCTTCCGTCCTCAGGCTGCAGAGGATATGAACTAGGTGACGAAGCCTGACATCTCTTCCCCTGAATGGCCAGACCCTGGCCTGGAAACTTGTTGGCCATTTTAAATAAAAGGACTCATTCCCAGATGTTGCAGCAGGCAGCTGCTTGGCAGCATTTGGGAGAAAGGGAGCTGAGCAAGTAGGGGGATTGAATTGTGTAGCACTGCATGTGATTGTCAAATAAACACTGCAGCTGCCCCCCTCTTGCTGTGCTTTTTAAAATGTATTTTTATTTTACAGCTAAGATTTGTATTGCTTAGCTCAGCACAGTGTGCTCTGGTGTCAGTTTGTGAGATACATACTGCAAACAGCCAAGTCCGTGTTTGTCTGTGTGACACGAGTCAGCACAGGAGGCGGAAACACTCCCCGAGAACAAAGTAATAGCAAATAAACATTGGGCTAAGTATATGATTCAAACCGTGGTGTCAGAAGTAGGTCTGAGACCTGCCTGCTTGGTCTGAGAGGCAAGAGCCAGACTTGTGCCACATTCATCAGGCCTCTGCTGCACCAGAGGAGAAAACAGTCGCATCCAGAGTGCCAGGGAGGGAAACGTCATAGCCACAGCTGGAAAACAAGGCCTGCTGTGGTCAGCCGTAGGATAGCTGGGGATTAGCAGTGCAGCAGCTGCTAGGTAGAGAGAAGCACATTGGTACATAGAGGTGATGAACACAAGAAGTTCTAATGGGAAGGAGCTTGTAACTGCCTGACTGATGAGGTGAGCTAGTTGTGAGGTGTCCTGGGCTGTGAGGCGTGACTGCTTGGGGTGGGATGGCCATATGGTGAGATTCCTTGGGGAGGACAAGGTGTTTTTTCTCAGGGACTTTCCAGGTCCTTTTCCTAACATGAAGCACAAACCCATGTGCTTGTTCTCCAGAGGGTGCTTGGGGCAATGTGCCTCTGGGGTTGTTGCTGCCTGGTCAGAATTGAAGCCTTATACTCGGTTACCCTGCACAATACTCAACGGAAGACCTGAACGGTGTCAGAATGGGTAAAAGAGTAGAGACGCAGAGATAAAGCACCTTTATTCTGCTGCCTGCTCATCTCTAAATGGTCCACAGAGCTGAAGGGAATCCCCCTGGCAGCACAGATAGCAGATCTTCTTAGGAAGCAAAAAACAGGGTTCAGATTTGCCCATCTTGGCAATAGCATACAGCCATGAGGATATACAGGAAAACATAACATTTGAGAAGGTGGCAGCACCTTTTGTCACCTTAAGTGGAATGAGGTCATTGAAAATTTATAACCAAGACTAAGTACATATCTTCAGCTCAAAGGGTACATCCACCTTTTAATGTGGATCCATCAAAGGTACTGGTGTCTCCTAAAACACACCTCAGGAATGTACGTGGTAGTTCTCACCACAGGAGCTGGGAAGGGAATGGCTGCTTAGTGCTGGTGTCGGCGCCTGCTTCAGCACTGCCAGGTGTGCAGGCAGGAGGAAGGATCCAAACTAAAAAGAAGAAATTAGTTAATTTGTGGTTACAGGCAGTAGAGTTCAGGACAGTTGATTAAGAGTTCATGGCTTATGTTTTGAGGTATCGTGAGTCACGGTGATGATTAAGATACCAGTAACTCAGTTAACAAGAATATTCTGCTGACACAGCCCCCCAGCATCATAAACACAGAGTTTGGTTCTTACCTTTTATGTAAAGTTTAAAAAAAAAAAAAGAAAAAAAGGTTTTTGAACTCATGTGTGGTTAGAGCATGACAGAGCAGAGAAACAAGCCCTCCAGAAACAGAGAGGAGCAGTGAGGGCTGGACTCATCTGTAGATTGTCTTGCAGAAGCCTCTGTCCTGGACCAGACTTTGTGTGAGATGGGCATGAAGCAATGCTTAATTTTGAAAATTCAGGTTATAAGATGGTGAGTGTCTCTGCAGCAGCTGAAGACAAACCACAAACCAGGACAGATGGGTAAAGGCAGAGGAGCACAGGGAAATGGTGTGGTATTGTTGGCCAAAGAGACCCAACCACTTTGATTAGCTTGTTCCCAGTGAACATTTTCTGGGTATTGTAGTGAAGGAAGCTTTATGGAAGGAGCTGAAGGAGAGTGAGGTGGCTTTGTGGGTTTTTAGGAAGAGCATGTCCCAGGTATGAGAGTAGAGAAAGTGGGGGTGTGCTTGTTTTGAAGATGGCTGGCATCCTGTGCTGAGCAAAGGACTTCAGCTCTCAATGGGAGACCAGAGATGGGGTGAGGATGAGCTGTGACACGTGCTGAAAACTGAGACAAGTGATGGGACAGAGCATTAAACAGGAAGGTGTCAGGAGCAAGTGCTCCCCTGGGCAGCAGCACTCCAGGTGGGTACAAGGCCACAGGACCCTTGTGCCAGTGAACAGAAAAAAGACTCACGTCAGCACTCTGGATGGAGAAGGGCTGAGGGAGTGACTGCTCCATTCACTTATTTCTTATCCATTGCATCGGATTGCTACTCTCATCTCTTCCAGCCTGGAGGACCTAGCACCAGGGTTAGCTTTATTTACAAAAACAAGTGGATTTAATCAGACAAGCCAATAATAATTAACCAATAAGTTGGACATTGAACCTTCCTCTGCTATTGATTGTAAGGGGGTTGTTCCTGAGCAATTACTCATTGTATCACCCGTGACTTCCGAGTGATCTACTAACTCCATGAACAATGAGACAGCAGAATCCTTGTAGTCACCCTACCTTCCCCTTTTACCTGCTGATCCCTGAAAGCGTGCGTGATAAAGCAAATTCAGTTCCAGCCTTAGAGTAGCATCATCCCTACCTGCTCCCACACCTCCACCTTTCTAAGCAGCAGGGTGATGATTTAATGGCAGTCATCCTCCTCGGGAATGGTCCTCTGGCTGTTTCAGATGTTGGGGGTTGCCTTAGAACAAAGATTCCAAGTCTCTTTTGGGTTTTGTGGCCAGCCAACTGTTGTAACATGCAGACAACCAGAGATGTGGGAAAGGGAGAGGCAAAAGGAAGAGCTGGGAAAGTCTCCAGGCTGTGCTGGTCAGAAGAAGTTGGTAAAAGGAACCTGGATCCCGGGGACTCAAAGACCACTGCAGCATGCAGTCAGCTCAGGTGCCAGATGCTGCAAGTTCCCAGGCCTGGAGCACTGCTGGTGTCCTGGGCCTCCTTGCTGGGTGGTAATTGAGAAAGAGTGCTATCTTCTTTGGCTCCTGAGGGACCAGCCTTTGTGGGACTTTTTTTCAGCATTCAGCAGGCTTATTCTGGCAGGAAAGGTCTGTTGCACCAAAGCAGATTGGGTCTTTAGTGGGTCCGTATGACCTTGTCTTGGTTGGTGTGCACCGGTGAGGGCTGTGGTTTCTGAGCAATGGCTGTGGTGTCCTGCAGTGACTGTGACAGCGGCTTCCCTGCATCTCCTCTGTCATCTCTTTCTTGGGCCTTCCTCTCCTCCTTTCCCCAAAGCCCACACAGTTCCCAAAGCCCTTTTGGTCACTGCTTGGGTCTGCAGTGTTGTGCAATAGCACCAAGTTAACAATTAACTGCGTGTCATCACGGATTTTGTCCCAACGCTGCCTGAGGGTGTGTGGGGACTTTTGTCCCAAGCATCCACCCAGGATTCACAGCCAGGCAGAGCAAGGGGACGGAGCTGCCATCTCTTCTCATCGGAGCCATGTCAGCAGCCCTGGACGATTTCTGTGGCTCCATCTTTTGGGTGAGTGGCTGCATCATCTCCATGGCCTGTTCTTGGGGTAGGACCCTCAGTGGAAGGGAGGAGCAGTAGATTCCGGAGACCCAACTGCTGAGGTTGGCTGAGGTTCTGGTATTTACCCAGGGCTGCTATGGCACTGGGTGCTGTGCACTGCCTGGGTGGTATCCACGAGACAACGATGCAACTGATGGTTCCCTGAGTAAGCCCTGTCCTGTTTTAGCCCCACAGCCCAGCTGGGAACACAGAACACCTTGCATGGACCTTTCAGGGAATGATTTGGGTCCAGCTGCTGGAGCTGGCTTGGCTCTAGCAAGGGGTGGTTTTGGGGGAGGCCCTTCCAGGTTCTGGCAGATAGATGGGTAGGGTCATGTCACCTGGGACCTTGGACGAGCTCTGCAATGCTCAGCCAAGAAGATGGGAGTTGAGGAGGGGGATGCAATGGGATGGAATGTGGTGGAGCAGGGTGGGCAGGAGCTATAGGAGTGCTGGCTCTTGTGCTGTGAGGCAGATGAGAGTTGAGCCATCCCAAGTGACTTGGTTGTCTGTGTTGCCCCCAGAATGCCTCCTTCCTCACTCGTCCAGATGCCGACCTGCCCGTGTGCTTCCAGCAGACTGTGCTGGTCTGGGTTCCCCTTGGCTTCTTCTGGATTTTGGGACCATGGCAGCTCCTGCCCATGTGCAAATCTGGAGCCAAAAAATCATCTGTGACCAAACTCTACATCACCAAACAGGTAGAGTGGGACTGAGAGGGCACAGAGGGCAGGCTGGAATAGCTTTGGATGAAGAGGTGGTGAATGGAAAGCCTGTGAGATGGAGAGATGAGAAGTGTAGGAGAGAAGGAGCAATAGGCTAGGGTACCATCTGGGACAGAAATGTAGAGGTGAGCCCAAGATGAGACCTATCTGGGACAGAGGGGATAGCAGGGCTGGGATGCACTGGCAGGGAGGGCTGAGGTGTGTATGGGAGCCTCTCATCTTGTGGGCTGTTACCCTCCAAGCTTAAAATGATGGCAGTGCTCCTGTGGAATTGCTGCAGCTTCACAGCACCCTAGAAAGCTCTCCTGGGCCAGGTTTGGGTAGGAAAGGGTATAATGGTGTGTGGGGCATAGTGCTTTTACACCTGACTGCCTTGTCTCCGGGGGGTTCCCAGTGCCCACGATGGGCTGGGGCTCCCCTCATGGTGCTCCCCTCTCCCCGCAGGTGCTGGCTACCTTGCTGATGCTGACAGCAGTGGCAGAGGTGGCCCTGGCGTTTGTAGAGGACACAGAGCAGGACCCCCTGCCAGCTGTTCAGTACACAAACCCCAGCCTGTACATCGCCACCTGGGTAAGGGATCAGCTGGTAAATGTGCTGTGTGTCACCAGAGAGACAGGGTGTGAGACCATGGGGCCAAGCAGCAGAAAACATCCCACAGCAGAGCCGTCAGCTAGAGGGAAACATAGCCTGGAGGGTGGGTAGGGACCAGCCCTGAACATGTGTGGGTGGTGCACAAGGGTGAGAGGTTGAGGGCAGGTGTCTGGGTGTATGGTGCTCCATCCTTTTCTCCTTAAAGCTGGGATAGG